ACTTTGTAAGTGGAATAAGTCATCTCTTTTTAAGTGGGAAAACAGTGCTCCTCAAAAGTGACTTTTTCTTGTGTGCACACTAGTGTCCAAGGAATGTAGCTAACACTTGACAGAAGAGGTAATTTTGGAACCACCATCCAAGAAGAAAATGCATTAATTGCATTCTTTAAGGGAAAGTTTCCAACACTCTTTCAAATACAAAATCCACCACCAAAAAAAACCAAAAACCTCTACTGGGGCAAATAGAAAATAATGTACATAATTAGGCTCCTCCAATCAGGTTATAGATTATGTGGCTGAAAAAGGAGCTATATCCACAATATTTTTGCAAATAAATAGACCTGTGGTTGTTTTAACCCAGAAGATTTAATGCTTGAAAGGATACCACATAGTTCTAGGCTTGCACATTTTATTCCACGAATGCAATAAATACTAACATTTATTTTTCAGGGAAAAAGACATCACTGTTTTCAAGGCATACTTATAGCAACTTTTTTAGTGTGTTCCTTAGCAGAGGTGACAGTCACTGTACCATCACAAGCTCACATACACATAGCCCTTATGTCTTGAAGGCAATGACATGAATGCTGACGTGCCTTGTCAGCAAAGCAAAGGAAAAAACCAAACAGGTGAGAAAACTGCAGTCCAAATCATTATGTCTTCTTCAAGCCCAGCCGTATTCAGGAGCAAGAATATAGGTCTTTTTGTATTTTTCAAAAACAGAATAGAGTAAGAAACATGAAAAAGGATAATAAATAAAATCCTCATGTGAAAAGGATGCTGGAGAACAGGAAGGGAGGTATCCTGCTCACAAAAGAAACTGTAACTTCAAGTGGGGAAAAAAAACAACCAAACACAACACACAAGAAAGCAGGAAAATAGATAACTCAGTTTTCTGTGCTTCAGATATTACTTCTTAAAAATGGTTGTACAAAATGCAAAAAAAAATTACCAATCCAAAAATGGCCCCAAACAGTTACCTCAAGTCTGATAAATGTCTTAAGAAACTACAAAAGTTTGTTAACATTTAATTTATTTTGATGACAAAAAAACTGTAGTCATATTCACTTGTTACAACAGTTCAAGTCTAGCAGTATTAAAATCTTTCCTCTTGCTATTACTTTTACTAATGCTATTAAAAAATCTGAAAACCAAAAATATCCACAAATAAACAAAATCCCAAGATGTTTAGGGAAGAAAAAAGCTTCTGTGAATATGAAGTGAAGGAATTTCATCACAGAACAAGTTAGATCACTAGCTTTTCCCTTCTCAGAATACAAAATCTAGAGTAAGAAAGCTGAAACGTTTGGTCCAGTTCTATAGCCATATGTCCACATTATTCTGATATTATATGCTGCCGAGTCCAGTAAATAGGGTTGGTTTTCTTCATCCTTGAAGTTCAGAAATAAAATTGCTGGGATGAAAAATTGGAAGACTAAAGGCACTGTAAGTGTCCATTTAAATATCCATATTTATTTAAATACACATATTCCTGACTGATACACGGTCCATAACTGCATTTCAAAGTTCTTTAGAAAAGGAACTTTTTATCATTTTCGGACTCAGACTCAGCAAGCTCTAATCTGCAGCATTACTACCACTGCAGCAAGGTAATTTGTTTTTATTAAAATTCATCCATCATTTAAAAATGCTTTGAAGTGTGTTTCAAAAACATAGTAAAAAGTCTGAATCTTCTAACACATTCCAATAAACACAAACAACTGCTACATTAAACAAGCAAGAAGGTAACAGGAGACGTTGGCAGAAACTCTGAAATAGGTAAAAAGAAACTTTCTAAGAAGTCAATCACTGCACTAAGTTATGATGTTTGCCAGAAACCCACACATGGGTTAGTAATGGCAAGTAAATACATTTGTTCTGACTTAGCATGTCATTGGCATGCTGGGTTTTCAGCAGGAATTCTATGAATGTAAAGCATAACCCAGGTTGCAATGGAAGATGAAGAAGCTGCCACCTTGTTTTTGTTTTTACAAGCTAACATCGGTATGTTTATAGCACAAGTCTGTAACTCCATGAACTTTGTTGCTGGTTTCTAGTGTGCCCAGTGCACTGAAATTCTCATCAGTATCAATGGAGTATTTTGGCACCCAGCAGCTAGAAGTTAAAGAGCACATTATGTTAAAAAGCTTGTGATAATACCTGCTTTTTAAACACTACCTGTACTCTTCAATCTGAAATTTTACACCTAGTTTGAGCTATTTATTTCCTCCTCTCAGTCATGAAACAAATTTAGAGCAATGAAATTTTGAAAAATATGTCTTTAGTGTTCTCATAGAGAAGCATTCTGCTGCAGTGATTCGGCTGCAAACACTGCAGAGGAACTGTAAATAAAAAGCTCATTTCTACTGGAATTAGAGAAAACATGGGAGATAATCCATACAAGGGACTATCTCATAAACCCACACTTGAGATCAAAGAGAGTTTGAAAGAAATCAACAAAAGGAACGTGATTGTTTATTACTCCGTCCCAAAGGATCCTGTCATAAAACGAACAGTCATCAGGAACAACTCTCCTCTGACCACTGCACCAGCCCACAGCGACAGGGGAGGGGAGCACGGGGCAGGAAACGGAGAGGGATTCTGTCACAGAAGACAATCAAGGCTGTTTGCGGGAAAATGAAAGGGTTTGTCTTCGGTAAATAAGCGGCGGCTTCACAAAAGCGGTGACAGGAACCGAGGAGGGAGCCAGGCTGACACGGAGCCCGCCTGATCCCCGGCCCCGGGGCCGGAGCCGCCTGCCCCGGGACGGCAGCGCCCTTCCCCGGGCGGCGAGGGACCGAGGACTGGGAGGAAAACCCCGAACCAAACACACTCACGCCCCGCACATCCACTCACCCAAACACAGCGAGCCCACCCCACGCCTCACCGCGGGCCTCGGCGACCGCACCGACCCGGGGTCGAGCCCCGCTACCCCCGGGGCGCGGGAGGCGCCGCTCCGGCACAGCCCGGGGGGACGCGGCCCCCGACCTGTCACAGCTGACGGAGGGGCGGCAGCAGGTCGTGCCCCCCCCAGAGCCACGGACGGCGCTGACCCGCGGCCCCACCCCCGGCGCGGAGCCCCAGGGCGATCCCGCAGCCCCGCCGCCCCCTGCCCGGGCCGGCCGGGGCTCCGCCGGGGGTGACGGCGGCGCCGCGCGCTCCATCCGCCGCCGGCAGCCCCGCAGGAAAAGGCGAGGCGTCCCAGCGCCCGGCAGCGCGGCGCCAGGCCGGGCAGCGGCGCCGCGAACCCGAACCCTCCTCCTCACTCACCGGCATCATCTCCGCAGCCGTCCCCGCGCCGGGCGCGTCGGGCCCGCCGAGCCGTGCCGGGCCTCTCCCGCCGCCGCCTGTGTCCGCGGAGGACGCCGCGCTCGCCCTGGCGGCTGTGACAGGTGCCTCCCGCGCGCCCCGCTCCCCGCAGCGGGCGGAAGGAAGAGGCGAAGGCGGCGACGGCGGCCGGGCTCCCAACCCCCTTCCTCCTCCTCCGGAGCGCGGCCGCCTCTCCCGCCTCCCTCCCCGGGCGCTTCCTGCTCCGCTCCGCCCGCGCCGCCCCGCCACGGGTTAACCCGCCGCCGCCACCGCCTCCTCGGCCGGGGCGGGGCCGCGCGGCCGCACGTGACCGCGGGGCCGCGCCGGGAATGCGGGGCCGGGACTCGCGCCCGCCTCCCGGACCTGCCGGGGCACCCCCGCTCCCCGCTCAGCGCGGGGTCACCCCGCCGGTTGTTCCCGGGCTCGGCACCTCCTCCTCCTCCCGCCGGCGCTGTGCCGCCCTGCCCCCGGGCCGGGCCCCGGCGGGCGCCGCCTCCTCTGGGCGGGCTGCCCGGGGCCGATTGCCCGCGGGCCCGGGCGGTGGATGAAGGGGTAGCGGCCGCGGGCGCTTTCTGCCCCCGGAATGCGGGGAATGCGGGGCGGCTCCGCCCGGCCCCGGGCGTGCGGGGGGAGCGGGGCGGTGACACGGGGCCGGGGCTCTCCCGTGCCCGGGAGCTGAGGTCTCTTCCCAACAGCTCGTCCCGGTCTACCGAAACACACCTTGGTGGCTCGGGTAACGTCATGTGCAGCGTCACCTCCCCTCTACCGTCCCTCCCTTGTGAAACCCGCCTGATGCACGAAAACTCGGCTTAGCAGCGGGAGGGGAAGGTATTTTTGTCCTGATGTCAGACTCATGAGATCTGGTCTCGTGTTTGAAAGTAAGGTTTAGTTCCTTCATTTTCTAGTCTCTTACTCCGTAGAGCTACAACAGCAAGATGAAAGTTAACAGCTTGGAAGAAGCCAAGCTCAACCAGGAGACAAAACATCACCATATGTTGGTACGGCAACACATGCAATGTAGACAAATTTCATATTGCTGTGAGCCTTAAACCCTAATTTACAGCATGCATGGACCTACCCAGTGCTCCAACTGTTTCTGTAAATGGCTGTTTTCCAGTCTTTGTTATTTTATTTGTAGAACACCATGACAGATCTTAGCAAGGAGTGAAAAAAATGATAACTTATCAAGTTCTTGAGGAGCTTAGATAATGTTTGTGTAAGTGTTTGAGGGTAAGTCATAATAGCATAATAATCTCAAATATAAGCTTGTATGGTAAGTGTACCCTATTCATGTAAGATTCTGTAACAGATAATTGTGCAAATCATCTTAACATATACATGCCTAAGATTTCATTGTGTATCCTTGTCAGTGTATTTGCAGGCTCTGGTGTCAGCTTTGTGATAGGTCAAAGCCTCTGCTTCTTTTAATAAATTGGTCCTACAGGGAAAATCTGTTAGTATCACATGACAATACTTTGCCAGTTTAACATTATTTTGCAAGTACTAAATGGAGTGCAGCTCGTTGGCAATAACACCAACATTATAGCCAGGTTCTTGTAGACTGTGATTCTACCTCACACATGGAGCTTTGGAAATAGGCAAGACTATGGTACTTAAGACCTCATAGAGAACTCCAAGATCTACTCAGAATAATAATATTAACCCTGCAACGAGGCTGACTCGAATGAAACAGGCTTTAATGTGCTTAAAAAGGGGGGGAGTGGGGGTTTTGTCTTCTATTCACTGCTATTATTTTGTTGACTAAATTTCAATATGAATTTGAAATTTACTTGTCCTCTTACTACTTGTAGTAATTCTAATTTTCAACTCGAAAATCTAAAATCCTAATTTTAACAGCAAGGGAATTGTGCACCTTTTGTCACACTTATTCTTTAAAAATTAGTATTTCTCATCGACCAGGTTAATTTTCTTTGCCAACAATTCTTAAACAATGGTCTATAATTTCTTTGCAGGTATACTTGATATCTGACTTTTCCCTGTTTTCAGCGAATAATAATAAAAACTAAAATACTGTAAATATTACCCCACTATTACTTTTCCACTGCAACAGCAGGAATGCCAACAAAATGAAAAGTGGGAGAATATGATGTAGACAATTGCTGCTGGGAAGGCAGACACTCCTCCACGCAATTCCTCTGTTGGAAGAATGGCCTCTAGTATAAAAGTTTGTCGACATTGTGTTGCTTTTGGCAGATGCAGGTTCAGCCAATGCAGCAACCAGACAGACTGGATACTGAGGGCTAAGAGGAAATGTCTCCAAAGGTAACGTACATACTTTATGTGCAAGTCTGCTTCTACTCCTATTTCTCCTTACCTCGAAAACACCACTTATCTCATCCCTTCCCATCTCCATTTTTCTATAGAAATTAGGAAAAAAATATTAACCAGTATTTACAAAGTATAAGACGTAAACCTCTACCTGCAGTATGGTAAATTTAACATCTCTTCTCCCACAGAAGAATCTTCTTTAGCAGTTAAGAAACAGAGCAGCCTTTACAAAATTTTTGATTCCAACTTAAAACTACAAAAGTTTTGTTTACTGTGAGCAGGAAAATGGTCACTTGTAATAATGTAGAATTTTTTTTCGCCATTGCCATGCATTTCCATTCCAAATGACTGGTCCAACTTTGTAGAAATTGTGGTGCTCAGCCAAAGGGACCAATGATATCTGCAAGTCAGTTGCTTGTCTTAGATAACTGAGGTTGCATAAAAGCAGTCAGGATTTGGGGAACGCCTAAGAAGATAAGGGAAGAGAATTTGGTTATGGAAGCAGATAAAGCCAGAGATACTGAATCCAAATTATTTGCTTCCAAATCCGTTTCCTTTGTGAAAGGTGTTCTAACTTTGTTGGCCTTTTTCTAAAGGAAAGGGTTTGTGTTTATTTGTTGGTGTAAGTATTGAAACGTTACACCTTTTACGCTCCTCTTGGCTCCTAAAAACCCAGTGATTCTATTTAACTTTACAAATTGAAACCACTGTAGCTTAACAGACTTTTTATTCAATTTACAGGATTAAAAAAAAAAAGGAATTACTGCAAATCAGTTATGGTATGGTTAGTTTTTTAGATTTGTGCTGAGATTGTGTTTAGCTAGAAATTGCAATTTGATTGAAATGTATGAATTGTCATTTAGCGTTTTGTTAAAACACTTGAAATTTATGGGTACATAGAGAAAAATTACCAAAACATGGTGTGTATTTAACCTAGATTTATTGAAAAAAGGGATATTAACTGCAGTTAAGAAATTGTCAAACCTCTCCTTTGATCATGCACAATATTATTCATAGGACAAGTAGAGATTCTGAAAGATACAGCTGTGAGGCTAATGAAATTTTCAAAAACACTCCTGATGAAATTCCAAATCCTACTTGTGTTTTCTAAGTATCTTCTTGTGAGATTTTCAAATGTTTTAAAGTTTTTAAAACTATCATGTCTGAATCTCTCCTACTTCTTTTTTATGCACAGACAAAAGGAGGAAAATGAACTTTCCTACCTTCTGAGATTCAAGTGTTCTCCAGTTTTGCATTCACTTGTTAAGATGCTTTTCTAGACCATAGGAAAATGTTTTCACGCTTTGGAAGTGTCACAGGAAAATAAGTATTTATTCTGAATTAATTTAACACTTTTTCTTTTCATGTGGTATTATTTTAAATAACAGATACTGCTATTTATAGCCAGGAACAGTGTCAAGAGGTCAGACATTTAGGGTGGGATCCATCTTATCCATCTTTAGTAATCTAGAAGTTAGGAGTGTAGTCTCAATCAGTCATCTAGGCTCCTTCTACAGATAATTTGGGATGGGGAGGGGAGAGAGGCAGTTCTGCTGAGATACTCATCCCGCTATCTAAATCTCCTGGTCTTTGAAGGTGCCTATCTCTGTGTTGATTTAAGATGGAGCCTGGATGACTAGCTCTGGTTAGAGAGCAGAATTTTTGGATGGCTACAGTTAGGATGGGCTCCTTCACAACCAGCAGAATAAAATCTCTAAAAAGTGAGTATGGGTGGGAGTGTCAGGGTTTTTTGTGTATGTGTGTTAAAAGAAAATCATGTCTTTTTTCTAAATAAATGAGTGAATTACTTTATTTCAGAATACAACTTTCTCCTTTCAAAACTTGCATTTGCTGTAAGGCAGGAGGAACTGGCCCTGAGTAGGTAAGCAATTTTAGAACCTGAATCACAGAAGTACTTCTAACTTGCCAGGCAGTTAACATGGTGGCTGTGTTGCAGTGGTGTGTGACAGATGATACAAAACAAAAAGACTTAATGTTTTTAGGGGAGTTTCACAGCAGGACCCTAAACTCTTTAGTGAAATACTTTGTAAAGTAAGTGTGTGTATTTAAAGGCAAGGTATTTTAATTTGTTACTGTGGCCTTAACTAGCCTTTCATTCCAGAATCAAGCTTTCTAAGACTGCAGCAATAAGGAGTTCATGCTGAACAATAGTCATATGCTGCCATGTTTGAATTCATATACAGCCAATGCATTTCAAACCCCACCAAACCTGCTCAGAGATAAATAAACTACAAATAATAACCTAAAGGAAACACTTTGATGTCTGTTTGGTATACAGTATTTGAGACACGTGAACAGGGGAAAGATACTTTTCCATCACTGCCTTGTAATATTCTAAAGTAATGTATGCTGGACTAGGTGACTCATGTTCTGAAGTTTCCATAGCCCAACACTCAGTGCATCACTCTGAAAAGGAGGGTGACAATTAAAGCAGGAGTGAAGCATTATGTTTGTGTAGCGTAGCTGTGTGCCCTTCCCGGGGATTTGGGTGTCTGGTACGTCATGTGTTTCAGCCCTGCCTTTGGTGGATTAGACAGATAATTTCTTTAAACAATAACATAAATTGTATTCCTAATCCCATACACATGATACAAAAGAGTGTACTTAGTGGAAAATGCTGTGGCCTCATTGGGAATGTGTTGCTATCCAGTCTTATAAAATTCCTACACCAAGAGGTATTGTTTGATGTTGTAGCTACAGAAGATACAGTCTTATAAGACAGATGACATGCCATCATTTTTATACATGGAAAATCTTGTTCTGCTCCCCTGTAATTTATAACAATGAAGCCATTAACTATATTCAAAGAGGCGGAGAAAACAAAAACTTAAATGTCCTGGGAGAGGTTCTCTCTGCTTATACCTTAAAGCTTATAACAATTTGGGGTCTCAAGATGTTTCTTTACAAAAATTTTTTTTTTCTTAAATTTTCAATATGCCTATGATGAGTGGAAGTATCTGAGACAAGCTAGATGATGGGTCTTTAGTTGAAACATTAATTACCAAGGGGACAGAGTAACAAGTCAGTCCTTCACTCTTTACTCCTTTTGCCATTGTGAGTGTACCACTTGGCTAACATTTGAGGGGAGAAAAGATGGGTCATGTTTTGAGTCCAGCTAGTTCATTTCTAACTGTAAGTCTAAAATTGTTCTCAGATATCTCAGTCATGATTTAGTGAGTCAAGTACTCAAGAGTTTTTAACGATTCTTGTATGAAGTGATTTCAAGTATTTTCTCTTTCAGGGATATACTGAAAGGTATTTCTTAGCAATTACTGACAAACTGATGTGAAAAGGAGGCTTAGTGAGGAAAATATGCCTCTGAGCAGAATGCTCACATCTAGTAGGAGAAAAAATTATAAACCAAATTAAATGTGTATAAAAAAAATACCTGTTTATACTTAGTATTTGAACAACTACATTATTATGACTACTCTGCTGAAAATAACATTCTTTACCTTTTTTTTTGTGTGTGAACTCATCACAGATTTTACAGATCAGAATACATAAGGTAAGTTTCCTCAAAAAATAAAATACAGTATTGAATCTGTTTAAATAAAACACCATTGCAGTTGTGAAACAGGATATGGTTCTGATTTAAGACACACCTCTATGGACAACATTTCTGCACTGTCTCTCTGTCATACATATATATAACTTTTTGGGCTTTTTGATTCCCAGAAACTGTCCGAGCATGTCTGTCTTCTCTACAGGTCTATGCAATTTATTGTGCATCTGAGTTTTTCTGCCATAGACACATTTTTAATAGTGCATTTTGATAGAACAGCATCAACATACTGCTAATCTGGCCAGCAGATGCAATCTAAGACATTTGCAATGATGTTTTTTCCATGTTATAAAAATAAAAATGCTGGGTTTGTGCCTTACTGATGCTTAAGGTTCATCTTTTCTAACTGTTTGTATAAATATTCCTTTTCCAGGTAAAGCAACAGTGTTCTAGTCCTGTGAACAGTGACAGGACCCAAGGGAACGGCCTCAAGTTGTGTCAGGGGAGGGTTGGGTTGGATATTAGAAAAAGGTTCTTCCCCCAGAGGGTGGTTGGGCACTGGAACAGGCTTCCCAGGGAAGTGGTCACAGCACCAAGCCTGACAGAGTTCAAGAAGCGTTTGGATGACACTCTCAGGCACATGGTGTGACTCTTGGGGATGGTCCTGTGCAGGGCCAGGAATTGGACTCGGTGATCCTTGGGGGTCCTTTCCAACTCAGCATATGCTATGATTCTGTAATAAGACAAGTTGATTTTGTCTCCAAGTGCCCTGGTTTGTAATCTTCCAGAAATACATTTCTGAATAGTTTTTATTTTTACTAGTGTGATCGTACAAGGTTTACTACAATTACTACAATTCTTAGCTGCATAAATAGAAGAATGTCAACAGTAAAGGCAGATGAATTGTGTAGGGCATTGATGGAACCTTATTAAAAATGATTCTGTGAAAAGCTCTAGGAATAGTGACAGTAGAAAATGTATCACTGGTATGTGTTTAGAATCTATTTTAGGTTGATTTATTCAAAGAATTTATCATAATGCGAAGCTGAACTTCAGAAGATTTAAAAGGCTGGAGAGGAGTGTGTTCATCACGGAGGAGTACACCCAATAATAACCTACTTACTGGGGGATGGTTAGATGCTACTTTAAAGGTTTGTCTGCTGCTTATGACTCAAATTCAAAACCTGTATTTCTATTCTATAAATGAACAAGCTACAGCACAAGGTAAAGTAACTTGAATCTTTTCTCTGTTTCTTCCATTTGCTATGGGAAAGTTCTAAATATTCTTTTCTTGCCTTCTGTTTTTGTCCTTCTAGACAGGCCTGAGTAGGTGTTTAACTTACTAGTCTTAATTTAAAAAGAGGTGTGATAGTTAGAATTAATAAGAATACATAATTTGAAAGCAAGATAAAACTATTTTTTGCAAGATTCCTTTTCTAGTTGCATTAATCCAAAAGAATTAACTAAATCAAAGTATGCTGAAAAGTATTTATGTCTAGGTGTTTATTTACACCTAGACACCTATTTAAGATCCTTTGTTAAAATTGATATGACTGAAATCCTTAGCTTACTAAAAGGAATGTGGAATTGAAATTTTAGCTAATTATTTTAAAGAAGTGTCTTGAGATCCTAACCAGAACCAAAAGAATTTTCCTTTCAAACTGTATGTGATATGTTATGTGGAATACAACATCAGGATTATAAGGAGAGAATTGTAATGTCAGGTATAAGAGAATTTAAACGAGGCTATTTCTCTGTGCAAGTGCACTACATTAAAAGGTGAACCTGAAGCATCAAAAGTAGAGTCTATAACAGTACTGGAAAAAAGTATAGCTTGAGACTGATACATTTATATCTCCTCATGATAAATAATGGAGTTAATTATAAAAGTGGAAATGCTTTTGATTAGACCCCCTACCAAAAGGGCATCCCTCCCTGTATTCTTGGTCCCCTATCAAATGCCTGTTCACATTCTAGTCCATTTTATTAATTTCTCCTTTTTTCTCTCATAATACTCTGCTTGTGTTCAGTTTATTGCTGCCATTTTACTTGTTTACACAGCATTCCATATGAAATACATCACAACAGTTCCTACGTTGTACCTCAAAAATTCCCCCTTAATTGCAGCAATTCTTAATATTATCAAAAGCATGCTAAACACAACAGGTTAAAACAAGAAATGAAGACTACAACTGATACTGCAGAAAAAGTCTGTGTAGGCAGCAGTCACCACAGATGGGATTCATTCAGTATACTGCTCTCAGTTCTACCACCCACGTAAATCCCCATTATCATTTCCTAGCAAACACACTTCATTAGCTCTGAAGAAATCTCTATTGTCTGTCCCAGCAGATCACTGAAGGTACTGTTATGATATGGATATAAAATAGTTAAAGGTCATGTCAATTAAAAAATATTGCTTTAGGATTCTGAAGGTCATAATAATAAAACATATTTTCATTTTATAATAACCAATAAAACCAATATTATAATTTGATTTGATGAACCACTACCAAATTTGTATTAAGCACTAGGATATCATCATACAATGGTTCTCCCTGTTCCCTACTTGTTTGTTCATTTGTCCATATAATTAAGTGATAGTATAAACTCGAGAAAGCCATGTGCTGTCCCAGAGGAAGGAAGCAAGGCTCTGCCTTTGCTGAAGCACAAGCTGACATTCCTGATTTGTATACAGGGTGGGGTTCTGCACGCTTTTTATTCCTCTGACTTTGACAGTGATGACAGTTCTTACTGGAGAGACAGTACTTTGATCATGTGCGTAGCTGCATGCGAGGAGGAAACCTGCATTGCATTAATGCAAGGGACACAATGACTTAGGGAAGTTGGGTGAGTGAATGGGAAGCTAGGAATTCTGATTCTTCTGCCCCTTTTCTGAAGAAAAAAAAAAAAGCTGTTGTGCTATAATGCAAGTTATAAAGCAGCTTTGGTTTAAACAAGATCAGGTGGGTCCAAATTAAAATGGAAGAAGTCCCAACAAGTGCTTGTTTTGCTATTTGAGAGGGGAAGAGACTCATACAATTCTGAAAAATCGCCTGATCTGATTCACAAATAGTTGTATCAGCACAACTATAAGGAGCAAGGCACTACGGTGTAAGGGTGGAAACGCCACAAGCTGGTGTAGCTGCCAGAGAATCTGTACTGCTAAACCACAACAAAGACACATAGTACCCTTAGCAGAATTTAATTTAAACTCCCAAATTATCCATTCTTGTGTGGTCAGTTCACTTTGAGTTAGGAGAGAGTAACTGTTTCCAAGCACTTTGTCTGCAGCAGTGCAGTAGACTACAAGACTGTCTTGTTTATGAGTTTTTCATAAATTACCAAATCAGACTCATGTGGCTTTATATTCTTAAAAAGAATATTAGCTGCTAAATGTTAGTTGCTAAAGGTCATGGAATTATAGTTCACAGAGCTTGCTGTTCAAGCACTATCTTGTCACTTCTTGTTCCTCCATTTAAGAAATTGTTAACTAACATATTTAATGCCTCAGGGAATCTCCATCTTACTATTCTTTCCTTCCTAGTGGCTTTACAGATTTCCGTGAATGGAACAATAGAGATTTCACACATTGACTTCCTCAGTTTCATTTCAGCCAGCTGGTGGTGATGTCACACACAGTCACCTGTGTCTAATGAGCACCTGATAGTTTTCCTTCCTTAGGGACTGAAAGTACAATACACTTGTAGATACCAGCTCTGTATCGGGCTGTATTTGTAGTACAGTGGTTTGCTGTCATGATTCAGATAAACAGGAGACTAGTTCAGCTGTTTTAGTTACTTTGGATCATTTCCTGCAGCTTTACTCATCCTCCAAATTAACATAAACACACATTTGGGTTTTTTCCAAGCTAGCCTTTAAAGAGGTTAAGTAGGTTGGACCCTGTGACTAATGCTTCCTTGGCTCTGACTGTATTTTGCTGCTCCCCTAGAGTATTCCATAATACTTTATTAGCATGCAGGAGATACTCTGAGATTCCTAATTGTAGGAAAATCCAAATGTCCAAGAAATCCCAGAGCCATAAATCCAATGAGAAATCGCAGCCATAAATAAGATCCACCATGGAGGAGCAAATACAGAAGTACTTGTACTGTAAAAAGACCACATCTTGCACTAGCACTGTCATTATTAATACAGCTTCCTACTGCTGAGCTGTCATGTTCTGTACCAAGAAACCCAAATTACCAGTGCCACAGCAAAACTTAGCCACGATGGTGCTGCAGTAATTGGATAAGACTCTTCAACCCCTATGATGTTTGTTGTTCCACTAACATGGCAAAGGTAGTAAACAGTCAGGTTTTGTCACTGCTGATGCCTTGTCACAGGCAGCAAACAAAAAATGCAGTTGCTGAACTATTTAACTATACAAAGTTTAAATGTAATTCTCTGTTTTAGAAATGTCAGCAATATAGAGGCAGCAGCTAAATGGAAACAACATGATCCACCAACGAGCAGTAGGCATAGCCTCCACCAGAGTTTAGCTGTGAATCATGATGAATATTCCCTCCTTGGATTAGAGTCCTGATTTTACATAGTCATTTGCATAGAAAATTGGTTTGTTCAGGAGCTGAGTATTGTCAGTATAGACACTTACCTGGAAGAAGAAAACCTTTTTGTTTTAAAGTTAGCTTTAGAAATCACTCTAGCTAAATTAGAAAAAAAAAAAAAGGTACATATTCTAAAATGAAGAGTATTGAAGGGTGGGTACTCCTTGCAGTGCTTCTCTACCTAGGGCTACGCTGCAGGTGCTAGTGCTGCAATCAAAATTGATTGCTCCTTCCACACTGTAAATATGAAGTGGCCCTCACAATGCCTGAGCTATCTATCTTTCCTCTACTGTCTTTTACACTACCTGCTCTTCTTCAGCATAGAGGAGCAGGAAGTATATAGATAGTACTACAGGTGTTACACATTATGGGTGTGTTGATTTCTGCTTTTGAGTCAGGCCACTGACTGAATTTCCTCCTTCTGTATGATACTCGAGTAAATAACCCAAAACATCTATTGAAACATAAACAGCAGTCTTACTTTGCCTATCTCCTGCAGGTATTTGTTCAAAATCACAGAGGAGGGAACATTCTCTAGCTCATAGAAATTTCTGACAGAGAAGATCCAGTTGCAGATGGCATTGTTTCAGTAGAAACTGTTGTTTTTATAACCCAGACACTGCTGCCCATATGTAGTTTCTTTCCCTACTAGAAAATCAAGCAAATCAGATAGTTAAGACTTGAAGCAGGTTAAGTTCACCTAAAAGTGCAGTTAACTGTGCTCCAAAGGCAGGTTATCAGAAGCTCCTCTTGCCTCTCAGCTAACACCCAGGAGATCAGACAGCATGTTGTGCCTCACTGCCAATGGTCTGGGTTCTACCTAAGGTGAAGCAAATCCTGCAGCGATTAATGTTTTTTCCCCTGGTCTGTTTTCCTCAGCTCTGTAATTGAAAATTGCTAAAGCAGGTCATTTGAAGTAT